GGATTGTGTGGTAAGAATGGGAGGTAAGAATTGGCTAGGGAGTTAGTGTAAAAAGACCCCAAAGAAAAGTATCCAGCTTCTTGGCTTAAAGTCAAAATGTCCTTGGGCCTCTTAGCTAATACTCTGTTCCAAAGGCCAAAAATGTCAAAAGTATTTGGGAGCTCTTAACTAATCCCTAAAAGATTTTAGGGTTACCTCTTCAGAGGGGAGAATGTTAGAGTAGCAAAAAGAATCAGAAAAAAAGTGATGGGGAGATATGGGAAGAGTTGGAGGGGAGGGAGCGGGCATGGATTTGATCAAAACACCTTATATGCATGTCTGAAATTCTCAATAAATTTTTTTTCAAAAAAAGTTCAGGTTCATAAGAGCCAATTTTCTTCACAGCTCACTGTTCAATGGCATCTCATTTAGTAGTTTCAAACTGTCTCTGATAGAAATTCTTGCACCCCAAAAAACAGCAAGTGGCACAACACAGGGCTCCCTCCTCCGTGAGAACTAGTTTAAAAGTACACTGCTATCTCAGCCAACCCACAACTGCTGGCGTTCTCTGAACAATAGCTGCCCAGAGATCAAATACCAGCTCTGTGTATGTGTGTGCCTCTGTGTGTGCATGCTACAGTGTGCAGGTACACATGTGCATATGTACTTGGAGGTGAGAGCAGTCTTAGGTATCATTCCTCAGATGCCATCCATCTTTGATTTCATGTATGTGTATGCTTGTTTTTGTTGGTTTTTATCTTTGCTTTGTGACAGGGCGTCTCACTGGCCTGAGATTTGCCAAGTGAGCTAGGCTGACTGGCCATCGAGCCCCAGGACCTGCTCCCTACCTCCCTAGTACTGGAAGTACAAGCATGCACATGTATCACCTCACCCAACTTTTTTACATGGAATCTGGGGCTCGAACTCGGGTCTTTCTGTTTGCCTACAAACACTTTACTGACTGAACTATCTTCCCAGCCCAAATACTAGTTTTTACAAACCAAGTCTGCTGAGCTGGGCTGGACCTTGGAAATTTCAGGACTTTTTAACCAAAGATGACAGAAGTACATGGTTTCCTTTCCCCTAGGCTTATGTCAGTTTCTGCTTGATTTTCTAAAGCAGTAAGGGACTGGAGAAGACAACTCTTTCTAGTTGCATGAAAGCAGAAGAAAGAGGACGATGACAGGGACAGGCTGCTGGACCTCCTCCTATGCAGGAGGCAGATGCCCTCATTTCAACCCTTTAGCAGGCATAGAGTCCTGGTTAAGTCTGTAAGTTTAACCACTATTTGCTGCCTCCTTTAGATGTCATGGAACCAGGCCAGGTGTGGCAGTGTGGATAATCCCAGCATTCAGGAGGCAGAGGCAGGTGGATCTCTGTGAGTTCCAGTCCAGCCTGGTCCATAGTGAGTTCTGATAGGTAGAGGGCTGGCGGGAGCAAGCGGTGTGGATGGAGAGCACGAGCGGATGGAGGAAGGCACCGAGGCACAAATAGAATTCTCAGTGGGATACAGATTTATTTCGCACGGGGCACCTTTCCCTCCGGGAAGGGAAAGATGTCAGGGAAAGATGTCAGCCCACGGGTTGTGAGCTGGGACTTTATATATGAGGGCTTTAGGGTGTGGAAGGGGGCAATGTTTGGGGGAGAAATCAGGGAGGGGGAAGCAGGAAAAGCCTGGCTCCGTTCTGTCTGCCAGGTGGGATTAGAGTCTGGAAGTGTTTACTTTTTCTCTCTTAAGATAAGAGAAAAGCTTGTTGTGATAAACAGCTTCTAAAATCTCTGGTTAACAGGTAGAATCTGCTTATCTTATCTTTGGAGATCAGAGGAGAGGCAGGCTGCTTCTCAACAGAATTTGTTTCCCTTGACTCCAAAGGTCAAGGTGAGGTCCCTGTTGGGGAAGGGGGAAACTGCTGCTATTTGGAACCCTAAGAAGTTCCAGGCCAGCCAGGTCTACATAATGAAACCCTGTCAAAAAAAAAAAAAAAAGCCACGGAACTTGGTAAGGACTTGGATACAGGAGTAGAGGAGGAATGAGGTTTCAGGTTTCAGGCCTAGATGCCTACAAAGCTGGTGGGAACATAGAGAAGGTCCATAGGGGTATATGAGAGTATGCTTAGGACTTGGTGGGTTTGAGGCACCTATGGAACTACAAATGAGATGTTCAGTAGATAACCTAGAAGTTGTAGTTCAAGAAAATGGTAAGGTCTTGGGAGTTACTGGTGTGATCACATGGTCGCTAAGACAACATAAAGAGCTAAGCCAGGACACCTGGGAACAGCAAGAGCTAAAAGAAAACTGCAGAACACAGGGAGAATGCTACAGAAGGCGGGAGGAACTGGGAAAATGTGACACCGTAGACTGAGAAGGAATGCCGAGTGCTGCAGAGAGCTTGGGGACTGGCATGAGAGACACAACGAGGTTATTCTGGCTGGTGGGGAGTGAAGAAGGAAGTGTTACAAGGTGCGGTTCCAATCAGGTCAGGCAGGGCATTTGAACTGTATTCCAAATGCAATGGGAAATCGTCCAGGGATTTTAAGAGGGGACTGAAGACATGGGATGGACGTGTTAAACATATCAGTTGGTGGCCAGTGAGAGGGCTTAGTGGACAAAAGCACTTACCATACAAGCCTAATGACTTGAGTTCAGTCCCCTGATCCCACACTGGAAAGAAAGAACCAGCTCCTGAAAGCTGTCCTCTGACCTCCACATGAGTGCTACGGCACACAGGTACCCATACTCACACACACTTTACATGCACACACTAATAATAAATAAAATAAAAACTATTTTTAAAAAATGTATCAGTCCATTATGGAGGATGGACAGGAATGAGAGTGGAACTAAGGAGCCAGTGGAAGCCAGTGTAGAAGCCCACACACGGGGCAGAATGAGGGATGGAGGGGGTTAAAGTGTGCAGACTCGGGCTATAGCACTTACTAATTAATTAGACAGAAGGTAAGAGAAAGATAGGAACCAAGGATTACTGAGATTCAGGGTTCGAGCAACTGAACAGGTGGAGGTGCCAATCACAAAGATAGGCAAGACCAGGAAAACAAAGTCATGAGTTAGGGTGGGAACTCTGGGTCATGTATTTTCTTTTAAGTCTGAAACTCATAGGCTCAGGTGATCCTCCCTTTTCAGCCTCCAAGTAACCAGGACTATGGACATGAACTACCACACCCAGCCTGGCCATCTGTTTTTGTTTGGGGCTTTTAATGATAGGGTCTCCCTATGCAGCCAAGACTGATCTAGAGCTCCCTATATAGCCCAGACTGGCCTCAAACTCATGATCCTCTTGCCTTCATCTTCTGTAAACTAGGATTACAGACATGCACCACAGCTTGGCCATCTTAAATGTGTTTATTAGACACAAGTAAATAAACCATCTAGACAGTTGGCTACCCAAAGCTGGAACCCAAGGATGAAGTCACAGAGAACTTTGAAGTCATTAGCATCCACATGACATGCAAAACCTGGGATTCAGTGAGCAAGAAAGTTGTTTTCCCCTCTGACTTGATCTGACTGAGGTTGGGGTTGAGTAGCTGTCTATTCAGGAAGGGGGATGGAAAGCATCCAAAGTCATGACCATTGGTCTTTATAATCTGAAAGCTAGTGGGGCTAAGCACAAACCTCACTCAGGTACAACTGGTAGAGAGAAGGTGCCAGAAAAGGTAGGATTTCACAGGAGGGCCGAAAGATTTCCCTCTGCTCATGCTCATCTCCTAAAATTTTGTCTGTCGGTAAAATTAATTCACAAGGAGGAAAAGAGAAAGTTGACTTTGAGGACACCAGTCCGCAGAGCCTGCAACCAGAGCCCTGGCGAGACGAATGTGGATAAGGTGGCTGTGTATTCTCCTCCCCTCCAACCCATTCGTCCCCACTGGGAGTTAGAGTTCCCAGAAATAGTATAGAAAGCATCCTCATCCAGTTCCAACACACCCAGAGGGCCTGGCTTCCATGAAGAGATTGTACCATCTCCTCTGCTACTAACCTGAAGACAGGCACGAGCTGAGGAGTGAGACAAGTCTGAGCCAGACAGACAGAAATACTGAAGACCATGCTTCTCAAACTTTAACACGTACCGAATCATCTGGGGATTTTGGTAAATGCAGGTTGTGTTTGAGTAGGTCTGGGAAGGGCCTGGGATTCTGCATTTCTAACAAGTTCCCAGTACCACTGTTGCTTCTGTCTATAGAACATACTCTGTAGGGCAACGAGAGGTCACTGTGAATGCCACCTATGATGGAGAGGGCATGCCTATCCAGGAGCATGTGTTTATTTATTTAGACACGGAGCCCCAAACCTATCAAGATGGAAATAGCCACCATCTGCCACAGCTATGAGGCACACAGGCACTGCGTGGCAGAACATGCCTTCCACGAGCATGGCTGCTGAGTACTTGGGTTCCGAAGATGGATCTCCTGAGCCTTACATCTTACTAGGTATGTGATCTTAAGCAACTTTTTGACCTCTCTGAACCATGGTTCATCTTAATAATGGAAATTTCAAGACCACTATGCGGACTGGCTGATACCATCATGTCCCTCCCACCAAAAGACCCATGTCTTCTCTTTCAAATTCCTCCTACCTTCCTGCCCACTCCCCCTCCCCTGGCCCCTAGCCCCAGTGTGGTCTGGATGGGCCCCAGAGGGGCAGGGACAGGGACAGGACGTGGGGCTGTATCTGACAGGAACCTGAGGGCCTGGCCCGGGAGGGGATTGGGGCCCAGCTTCCTGAAGGGAGGATGGGCTAGGGCAGGCACACAGTACCGGAGAAGATGCCCTCTTGGGCCCTCTTCATGGCTACCTCCTGTCTCCTCCTGGCTCCTCCAAACCTGGCACAAGTCAGCAGCCAAGGTGAGGTGTGTAGAGGGTGGAGATTACCTATGGCCAGGAAAAGCGAACCCTGGGAGGGGATCTAGGGTGAGAGGCTCCCACTGGTCCCCTACTCTTGCCCACAAGCATGACTGGAAGAACGCAGGGCCCAACTCACCAGCTGTTTCTCAGATGCCTTCTTGCTGGCCTCGGACTCAGAGCCCCTGAACTGTTTCTCCCAAACATTTGAAGACCTCACTTGCTTCTGGGATGAGGAAAAGGTAGCACCCAATGGGACATACCAGCTGTTGTATGCCTATCCAGGGTAGGTTCTGGGCACAGCCCCACTCCTCATTTATCTGTCTATACTTAGCTGAGTCACACTCTTTGCTTCCCTGTCTTTGGCCCTATCAGAAGATTACTCCAAGTACATGCCCTAAGTAACTGCTCTATGAATGGTCCAGCTCAAACCCTATGTTACCCCTAACCCCACCTACCTGAGGCAGTGAGAAGAAAATGACAGTAATGGAGAAGGAAATTGGGCATGGGCTTGACCTGGGTCCTCGGGGTTGAGCATGGTGACTGTGTAGGTAGGATCTCTCCTGTGCCAACAGAGAGAAGCCCCGAGCCTGCCCCCTGAGTTCCCAGAGTTCCCTCTTTGGAACCCGATACGTGTGCCGGTTTCCAGCCCAGGATGAAGTACGCCTCTTCTTTCCGCTGCACCTCTGGGTGAAGAATGTGTTCCTGAACCAGACTGTGACCCAGCGGGTACTCTTCGTGGATAGTGTAGGTAAGGGCATCTGTCCCTTGATTTCCTGCCTACAATTACGCTCCTAGAATGAGACTTGACTGTGGTCTTTCGGGACAATATGGGTACCTCTCTTTATCAGACTCCCAGAGGCATCTCCAGGCCCTCCCAATCATCCCTCCCAGCCTTGGTGCCCATGAATCACTTCACAACAGGATCACCTTGTTCCTCCCATCATTAACACATTCATTTACTCTAGTTGATGGTTACAAACACCTATGTGTGCCAGGTGACAAAGATACAGGGATGAAAAGAGGTCCCTGCTTTAAGGGTCAGGGACATAACAAATGATTTTTGCATTGTAGTGAGGCCACTGCTCTACAAAGGAGGACTAGATATCCTACCCTTTCTTCCTTTCCATGGAAGGGGGGACCTGTCTCTTTGAAACTAGAGCTGCCTGATTCAACCTTCAGTGCCCTTCTCTACAGTCCATGGGTTGAACCATAGACTGGCACTCAAGCATTCTGATCTGCCCTGTCTTGCCCTCAGGCCTGCCAGCTCCCCCCAGTATCATCAAGGCTGGGGGCGGGAGCCAGCCAGGGGAACTTCAGATCCACTGGAAGGCCCCCGCTCCTGAAATCAGTGATTTCCTGAGACATGAAGTCCGCTATGGCCCCATGGACTCAAGCAACTCCACTGGCCCCTCAGTCATGCAGCTGCTCTCCACAGAAACCTGCTGTCCCACTCTGCGGATGCTGAACCCAGTCCCTGTTCTGGACCAGCCTCCATGCATTCAGCCTACAGTACCCCAACAACAAGGACCAATGAGGACCGCCCCAACTGGAGAAGTATCCTAACCTTCTGCTCCACCTCTTATTCCCTACTATTCCCTGCTAGTATGCCCCTAGCACAGAGCTTCATATACTAGGGATGGAGGCTGCCTTCGCTGAGAAGCAGGCCTATGGTGCTTGGATTTTTCTCTGCAGGTTCCATCTCCGACAGTAAGAGGTGGAAGTTGTCTCATCTCGGGGTTCCGGCCTGGCAAGTCCTACTGGCTCCAGCTGCGCAGCCAACCTGATGGAGTCTCCCTTCGTGGATCCTGGGGACCCTGGTCCTTCCCGGTGACTGTGGACCTGCCAGGAGATGCAGGTCAGTAAAGGAATGAGGAGATGGGGAAGAGACTACAAAGATCCCTATGGAAGCCGGGCATGATGGTGCATGCCTTTAGTCCCAGCACTTGGGAGGCAGAGGCAATCAGATCTCTGTAAGTTCAAGTCCAGCCTGGTCTACATAGAAAGTGCCAGGCCAGCTGGGGCTACAGGGAGACCCTGTCTCAAAAAGACTTAAAAAAAAAAAAAAAAATTCCCTATGGAGGCTTGGGCTGGATACAGAAGCTCTGGGAACCGTGGTCTTCCCTGCTGACCTCAAACCTGCCATTGCACAGAACTGTGTTCAGAGCAAAACAGAGAAGAGTATTCTACTATGTGTGTGCCTACTGAGTAAAAACATACCGCCCTGACGGAATTTACTTCTTTGACCCCTAGAGGCAATTGGACTGCAGTGCTTTACCGTAGACCTAAAGAATGTTATCTGTCAGTGGCAGCAACAAGCACATGCTAGTTCCCAGGGCTTCTTCCACCACAGCAGGACACGGTGCTGCCCCAGAGATGGGTAAGATGTGAACTGCTGATTAAGTTTGAACCTGCAGAAGGTTAGTGCTGCTGTGGGTCCTCTTCACTATCTGACCTAATCCTCTCCAATAAATGTTTTTTATCTTCTCAACCTCTCTCCATTTCTGCTAAGAATCACATCACCTACATTGAGACTGCTTAGCAGGGCTGTCCACAGACCACATATGGCTGAGGCTAGCTATGAATGTGGCCCAACACAAAATTGTAAACTTACTTAAAACATTATGATTTTTTTTTTTTTGCAATTTTTTGGTAACTCAGTTGTGTGGTTCTTAAGTATGAACTTTAACACATAAGGTCGTGTCACAATGTCAAAGGGTCAGACACCCCTGGCAATCTTATTCACCTCCAGTTTATTCCCCCATGATGCAGTCTGAGTAGCCTTTACTAAGCTCCAATCTGTGTAGAACTCATTCATGGCTTTCTCCTGAAGTATGTACTGCAACTTTCTAGGATCTGTGATCTATCAAATCTGTACAAAACTTAACCTGGCCTGCGAAGATTTCTACCAAATGCCTCCCCTCTTTACCTCTTTGAATTCAGTCGATTACTAAGTTGTCAGTTTTACATACTAAATATCTCTAGAGTCTGTTCACTTCAGTATCTCTGCCATTACCTTACTACAACCCATCAGGCTGGGGATATAGCTGGCTCAGTTGGTAAAGTGCTTGCCTGACATGCATAAGGCCCTAGGTTCCATTCCCAGTATTAGGGGCAGGGGCTAACTTTCACATAGCCACTAAAAAGACCCATGAACTCACCACCTTCAAATAATTCTCCACACAGGAGAACTGGAATGATCTAGAAGTGCAAAAAAATGAACAGAATGCTCCTGTTTTAAATCCTTGCTATCTTCCACTGATCTTAGAATACAGAAGTTTGTTGTAGCTTTGTAAAGTTCTGAATACCCAACACCTATCGGCTTCTTCAGCTTCATCTTCCGCTGTTCTCTCCTAGCACTGGCTTTGTTGGTTCCCTGGTATGTGCCACATTTCCTGCTGCTACTGGGCCTTTGATGTGCTGTTTATCTGGCTCTCTCATCTTAACTTTCACTTACCCTTCAGACCTCAGGGAACCCCTCTGTCCGCCTCAGTATATCTAATAGCATAATTATACATTCTATTTTTAAACGATTATTTATTTTGGGGTGGGGGCAGCACACGTGTGCTACAGCACAAGTGTGGAAATCAGATGACAACTTGAGGGAGTCAGTTCTTTTCTTCCACTATGTGGATTCTGAGGATTGAACTGGGTAGTCAGCCCTGGCAGCAAACACCTTTACCTGCTGAGCCATCTCACTGGCACAATTATACATTCTTTTTGTACTATGTAACTCTCCTTTTTAAGCACTGATCACAGATACAATTTAGCATTTACACTTTATGTGATTTTTTAATTAAAAACTCATAGGGCTGGAGAGATGGCTCAGCAGTTAAGAGCACTGGCTGCTCTTGCAGAGAACCCAGGTTCAGTTCCCAGCAGCCACATGGCAGCTAACAACAATCTGTAACTCCAGTTCCAGGGGATTCCGACACCCTCTTCTGGCTTCTCAGGCATGGCACAACATGGGTACACTTACATACATGCAGGCAAAACAATCATACACATATAATAAAAATAAACAAAAAAAAATTTTTTTTTGTTTTTTTTTTGATACAGGGTCTCTAGCTGGCCTGGATTCACTATGGAGACCAGGCTGGGTGTGGTGGCACACGCCTGTAGTCCAAGCACTTGGGAGACAGAGGCAGGCAGATCTCTGTGAGTTCAAGGCCTTCCTGGTCTCCATAGTGAGTTCCAGGCCAGCTGGGGCTGCAGGGGAACCCTATCTCAAAAAAAGACAAAAAAAAAAAAAATTCTGATTGTAATGGTACATAGCTATAATCCCAGGACTTTGAGAAATGGAGGCAGGAGGAAGAGAGATTCAAGGTCATCTCAGCTACATATTGAGTTTGAGGACAGCCTGAGCTACAATGGCACCCTATCTCAAAAAAAGAAAAATGCTGTCTCTGAACTCCAGTTGAGAAACACTGACTTTGACTATGTGACTCATGAGGATAAAATCAATATTCATTTTTACTCACATACATTCTCATCTACCAGAGAGACTGGAACACAGTGTGTGCTTGGCTTTAAAAAACAAGGGCTGGAAAGATGGCTCAGTGGTTAAGACCACTGGCTGCTCTTGCAGAGGACCCAGGTTTGATTCCCAGCTCCCACATGGTGGCTAACAACTGTCTATAACTCCAGTTCCAGGGAATCTGACGCCCTCTCTGACTTCTATGGCACTGCATGACACAGGTGAACTAACATACATGTAGGCAATACACTCATACACGTAAAAAAACAAATAATAAATAAATTTAAGAAAAAGCATTGGGCCTAGTAAGATGGCTCCATGGGTAAAGCACTTGCCATCAAATATGGAAATCAAATCCTCAGAACCCAGGTAACGTTGGGTAAAGTAGCACACATCTGTAATCCTAGTGATGGGAGGCAGAGACAGGAGAGTCCTTGGAAGCTCATGAGAAACTATCCTGGCATATATAGCAGCAAACAACAAAGAGATCCTGTCTCAAACTAGGTGGAAGGCAAGGACCAACACCTGAGGTTGCCTTGGACCTCTACACGTACGTGCACTCCTACCCGTATACATAAATGTGTAGCGCAGATATGCATGCACACCCATATACAGTACACACACAAGCAAAAACTTTCAATGAATGAATCAAAGAGTCACCCTTGAGAGCTTTGCTGAAGTCTTCCTTATATATATATATAATTTATTTTGTTTCTGTGATGCTAGGGATAGAACCCAGGGCCTCGTACATGCTAGGCAAATGCTCTATCATTGGACTAATGCCCCAGCCCTATATTGTCTCACAGTTTTGCTTAAATATGTTTTGGACTTCATTACAAGAGAAGGCAACTCATTCTTTTAAATAGTTGCACAGATTTTCATTGTGAAGAGATAAAATCCATACATGATTAAAGGATGACAAAAATAAAGCAATCATCTTTTTGCTTGTTTTTTGTCTGAGACAGGGTCTCACGATATACCCTGGCAGATCTGAAACTTGCTGCGTAGACCAAGCTGGCCTCAAGCTCACAGAGATCCACCTGCCCCTGCCTCCAAAGTGCTGGGATTAAAGGTGTGGGCCACCACACACAGCTATAGCAATTGGTTTCTCTCTCTCTCTCTTTTAATTCTAGAAAATTTTTATTATTCCAAAGAGAGATAATTTTTAACACTTTTCCAGAAATAACTTGAAGCCAGTTACATAAAAATATATATACAATGAAGTTTAAGCGGGGGGGAAAGTAGGAATAAGAAATCAAAGACCAAAGCCAGGCGTGGTGGCCCAAGTCTTTAATCCCAGCACTTGGGAGGCAGAGCCAGGCAGATCTCTGTGAGCTTGAGGCCAGCCTGGTCTACATACTGAGTTCCAGGCCAACTGGGGCCACAGGGAGACCCTGTCTCAAAAAGACCAAAAAAAAAAAAAATCAAAGACCAAAGGATTTGCCAACATGGGGTCAACTTTGGTGGAATAATGAAGGTTTCCATTAGCTCTGTTCTTTTTTTTTTTTTTTTTAATCCTAACTAGTTAATTGGGTTTGCTAACAGAGCATATGGTGGGAGTTTATTTACAGAAGAATGGGTGCCTCCCCCCACCCCCATTTACAGCTGCGCTGGAAAGACCACACTCAAATATAGATCCTATGACTTCCACAAAATGGCGAGAGGTGCCTCATGACGCTTATATATCCTTAACCCCTTCCCCACATGTAGCTAAGGTCAACTGATTGGGTGGGAGGGGTAACTGATGAGTGTGGAAAGGTGTGCCGGCACAGTGGTTGGAGGACACTTCAAGGTAACACTCCACTCCTTCCTCCGGCTCTTACACTTTTTCCACCAACCTCTTCCACAAAAGTCCCTGAGCCTTGGAGGGGGTGGTAGGTGTGGGATGATCTTCCTCCTGCTGTGGCAAGGCACTGAACTTTCAGGTCTCTGCATCATCTGTTTTCCATGGGTTCTTGGCCCATTTCAGTGGGATTCCATCTACACTGAAGGATGCCAGATCCAGGCACTCTAAGTTGGTCTGCTGAGTTCTCAGCAATCAATTTCTTTTACTCTCTCTTTCTCTTGACTGTCTTCTTTCCTACCATGAATTCAATTTCCACACATAAATTGGCCTGGACTTCTCTCATTCTACACCCTCCAGGTACAATCAGAAGTAGTCTTGTTACTCCTATCTCTTCGATAGCTCTTGAATCATCTCTATCTCGACTGCCACCACCCTCATCACTTTGTACATAAAAACCACAGCAATGTCCTGATGGTTTTTCTTCTTCTCTTCTCTCTCAAATCCTCTCTATGAACAGCAGAGTGATCTTCTGAAGTACAGTGTAATTATGACACTTCCCTGCTTAGGATCCTTGAATGTCTCTCTAATTACAAGATTAAGTTCAAGCTCCTGCTGGGTTTGGTGGTACATGCCTGTAATCCCTATACTCAGGAGGTTGTTGGGCATGGTACTACACACCTTTAATCCCAGCACTCAGGAGGCAGAGGCAGGTGGATCTCTGTGAGATCAAGGCCTGCCTGATCTACATAGTGAGTTCCAGGCCAGCTGGGGTTACATGGAGACTTTATCTCAAAAAAAAAAAAAAAAAAAAAATCCTATACTCAGGAGGTTGAGGCAGGAGGATCACCTCTAGTTCCCAGCCTACCTGGGCTACATAAGGAGTTCCAAGCTACCCAGACTACAGTGTGAGATTGTCTCAAATAACAAAAACAAAGACAAGTTCAAGCTCCTTAAAAAGGTCATCCAATACATATTTGGTCTGCAATCTCACATTTACCATTAGGCCCTCGGTCCTAAAAAAACATTCACCATTCTGAACCATTTAGTATTTCCCCCAAAACACCACTCTCTCTTTATCTCTGCACAGCATGTGCCTAGAATACCCAGTTGTCCCTTTGCCTAACCTGTTTATAGTCTGAGTCTCAGTCTAAACACTCCCTCAGCCAGGAAGCATTCCAGGACCGTCCCTTCCTGGTCTAGGTTAGGTGCTCCTCTGTGATCTCCCCAGTCAGCCTATGCACATCACAGAAAAATGACTCTTTGTTTTCCTGACTCTCCCATTGAAATGAGGGCTCCTTAATTATTTATTCCTCATGTACTCTCAGGGCCTGACACGGTGCTTAGTACGTGGGTATCAACTGTTGAATATATGAGTAAATATGTAAATACTTAAAGTGATCATTTTAGTGACAGCAAGTCACTAAGGGATTATAATGAAGAAGGAGGCATCTTGACGCCAGCGCAGGCTACATGAAACTGCCTCAAAAAGAAGACATGATTCATTGGCGCCTTAAACTATTATTGAGATGACTATATGCTAAGCACTAGGGATAGCATGGTAAGATAGAAAAGGCTCTAGAGCTAGAGATGCAGCTTAGTGGTTCTGTGCTCATTTAGCATGTATGAGGTCTTGGATTCAATCCCAAGCATAAAAAAGAAAGACAAGGGAAAGGCCCCAACACTGCCCCTCCTCTAGAGGGACAAGTAAAGAAATGAGCAGGGTTATGTGATAAGGACAGGGTGCTACTTTAGACTGAATGCTCAAGAAAAGCCTCACCAGAGAGGTGACAGGTGAGCTGAGATTTGACAGCAAGAAAGAAGTCATGTGAAGACCTACAGTCAGGTAAGATGCAGTAATGAGGAACCTGACTTATCTGTGGCACAGGAGGAAGGGCCAGGTGGATGAAGGGTGGTAAACTGGCATGAGCATCAAAGGAGGTTAGAGTGGACGGTAAGGAGAAAACTCCGAGTCCTGCAGACCCTCATGTGGAGCTTGAGTTTTGTGCCAACTCGGATGAAGAGCCATTGAAAGATAAGCACAAGAATGGCGTGGCTTACATTTTCAAAAAGATTATTTTGTTTGTGTGTGTGTGTGTGTGTGTGTGTGTGTGTGTGTGTGTGTGTGCCTGCAGGAGTTTATGAGCACTGCATGTGTGTAAGAGCCAGTAGAGGCCTAAAGAGGGCATTAGATTCCCTGGAACTGGAGTTATAGGTGGTTGTAAGCTGCCATGTGGTGCTGGGAACTGAACCTGGGTCCTCTTCAAGAACAGTAAGTGCTCTTCACAACTAGGCCATCTCTCTAGCCCACGATTTACTTTTTAAAAAAAAATATTGTATTGAGCTTTTGTACATTTCATACAACAGTTCTATTTACTTATTTTTTAATATTTTATTTATTACTTTTATTTTATGTGTATGAGTGTATTGTCTGCATGTATGTGAGTGCACCCGTGTCATGCAGTGCTCGCAGAGGCCAGAAGAGTTTCAGGTTCCGTGGAAGAATGGTCAGTACTCTTAACCTCTTAGCCATCTCTCCAGTCCCCAGAAGAAAGGTGGGTCTCCTGGAACTCACTATGTAGACCAGGCTGGCCTCGAACTCACAAAGATCCACCTGCTTCTGTCTCCCAAGTGCTGGGATTAAAAGCGTGTGCCACCATACCTGGCACCAACTTACATTTTTAAAAGGCATCTTTCAGGTAACTTAATGGTAGACCATTTGTCTGGTAAGCACCTGGCCCCATCCGGGTTCAATTCCCAGCACTAAAAAATAAATTAAGTAAAAGATATCATCAGAGCCTGTCAGAGGGGGACAGCTGGAGAGATGACTAAGAGCTTAAGAGCACTGGCTGCTCTTGAAGAGGACCCAGGTTTGATTCGTAGCACCCACATGGCTAACAATTGTCTGTAGTTCCAGTTCCAGGGGAATTCAATGCTCTCTTCTGACCTCCATGGGCATTGCATGACACAAGTGCACTTACATGCAGGCAATACACGCATACATAAATTTTTTTTTAATAAAACGTGTTTAAAAAGAGGGAGGGTCAGGCGTGGTGGCACATGCCTTTAATCCCAGCACTTCGGGAGGTATAGGTGGGTGGATCTATTTGAGTTCGAGGCCAGTCTGGTCTACAAAGCAAGTTCCAGGCCAGCTGGGCTACAGGGAGACCCTGTCTCAAAAAGAAAATAAACAAACAAACAAAGATATAAATAAATAATAAAGTCTTGTTAGTCTTTGAAATAATCTTGGTATCTACCCACTTTACAAATAGAAGGGAGCTAGAGCAAAGAGATAAATCAAACCATTTGCCCAAGATACACATTCCTTGGCCAAGACCCGAATTCCATACATCATGTTCTCTTTTTCTTTCATAATTCAAGTGTCTTTTCATTATTAATTTTTAGGTTAGCATACAACATAATGGGTTTTATCATATAACCAATAGTAAACTTCATGGCATAAAAACAGGGAAAGCCCTGGAGGCCCTGACAATGGAGGGAAGAGTTTACGATTCATGCAGATCATAGTCCCTGTGTGATGGGGCATGATCTCTGGGGCAGGCTTGATTCAGTGACTCTCTTGGACTGGTTCTTAGGGACCCCACCTGGGAGAAGTGTGAAGATGAGGAAACAAATCCAGGATCACAGCCCCCTCAGTTCTCCCGCTGCCACTTCAAGTCACAAAATGACAGTGTTATTCACATCCTTGTAGAGGTGACCACAGCCCAAGGTGATGTTCACAGCTACCTGGGCTCTCCTTTCTGGATCCACCAGGCTGGTAAGAACTTTCTTCCCTATTCCTCCCACACAATTCCCACCCTCACCAAATCTAACCCTTTTAATATGCCCATGATTCTCAACTCTAACATTTCTGACCCTTGGCCCTGAAGGCATAATGCCTATTGTACAGAGGGCTCAAACCAGTCCCCATTGAAATCCCTGTAGTGCTCCTCCCCACCCCAAGCCTGCACTGGAGGGAGGTGTCAAGTGGGCAGCTAGAATTGAAGTGGCAGCACCCTTCATCCTGGGCAGCCCAAGAGACCTGCTATCAGCTCCGATACACAGGAGAAGGCCATCAGGACTGGAAGGTAAAGCTACAAATGCCTGTGAAACAACATACATGATATTTCCAAGGCCGACAGTGTCTCTTATCACAGGGACTGTGCCCATGAATTGGTATCTGGGCATGTACATCCATGTTTACTGATCCAATTAGTGTCTAAATTCCATTTGGGCATATAGCGTCCCTGGCTATTTCATTTAACATGTTCTCCTCCCATGCTGGAGCTGGAGCTCAATGATACAGCATCTGCTTAGCATGCATGAGGCCCTGGGTTCCACCCTAGAACCATCAGAGAGAGACAGAGAGACAGAGAAAGAACGGTCCCTTTGCCTTTGGATAGCAGCCTCCTCCATTTCTCTTCCTACCTCTCTGGCTGAACCTTGTCTCTCCTGTTCCTCCTTTTCTAGTCCCCCCCCCCCTTCCTCTCTTGCTCCTTTCTCAGATAAATATTCACGTTCTTCCTAGGTGAGTGTTCAACTTTATAGGTTTTTGTTCTGCTTTTTTTCTGAGATACGGTCTCACTTTGTAGCCCTGACTGACCTGGAACTCACTATGTAGACCAGGCTAACCTCCAACTCAGAGATCTGCCTGCCTCTGCCTCCTGGGTGCTAAGATTAAAGGCACTGGCATGAACTGGTGTACTTATATACATGTAGGCAAAACACTCCTACACATAAAATAAAAATTAATTAAATAAAATGAACTACAGGGAAATTACCTAAAGCTTTGAAGTCTCCTCATTGGTGAAATGGGGAGAAAGTTCTCTGCCTTATAGAGTTGGGTAAAAATTAAGTCTATAAAATCCTAGGGTGGTGCACCCCTCTAATCCTAGCATTCAGGAGGCAGAAACAAGGAGATCTCTGTGAATTCCAGGCTGCCAGGACTACATAGTGAGAGACCCTGTCTCAAAAAACAAAACAAAAAAAAAAAAATAGAAATAATAAATTCTTAGCATAATCCCTGGCAAATAGAAAGGTACTCAATACACACTGAATACTGTTTATCTTTATTGTTACACATGTATATATATAGATACAACTTTCTATCAGACAACTCTATCTAAACAGCCTTGTCCCAAGATAGCCCAGACAAATCAGATTCAATGTATCCAAAACTAAAAAAAGAATCCATCTCCCTTTCTATGTGTATTTTGTTTTTACTAGATAAAGCTTATATACAATAACATATACAAGCCTTAAATATACAATTATTTTTCATGTGTTTACTACACGTGTAGTCAATTACCCAGATCTACATATAACATATTTATAACACTCCAGAAGCTCTCTAAACTTCCTATAGTCACCTTATCACAGTAACCAAAGTTGACAGCTGTTTTAGCATTACCATTGATTCATTTGACTATAGATCAACTTTATAAAGCAGACCCATATGGTATTTCTTTTTCAAGCTCCCCTCCCCTCTCCCCTCCCCCACCACCACTTACCCAAGACCCAACTGGAAGCATCCTTGATTCCCCTTCCTTCCTCTTTCCCCTCTCCCCTTATTTGACAATAAGTTGAAGGATGTACTAAACACTCGTCGCTCCTGGTCTTCTCTGATCATCCGTGCTTTTAGCACATCGAACTAGGCAGTAACCCCGAACCAAGCAGCTCTGGCAGCATTGTTTCCCTGTGTTCGAGGGGTGCCCTGCACTAATTGTGATTGTTTGCCTGCCTCATTAGATAAGTGAGACTGTATTTCACCTACCTTTGTCTCCAGCGCCTAGTCCAGTGTTTGGCATATCCTGAGCAACTCATAAATAATAAGTGATTAATAGCCTTTCTGCTTGCACAAATAGTGTTTGTGACCCCTGGCACTTAGCATAAATCTGTCAACCTCTACAGTATGGTAGTACTTGGGGCATGTCCGGGTGGCTCTGAGCATCGGAACGTGTCTTTGAGTGTGTTCAAAGCCTGACCAGGAGGGTTGGTGATAGCATCCTGCAGGGTCTCCACATTCTGTGGCCAGTATGGATGGGGGTGTCTTGGTGGAGGATCCCCCACAGGAACTTGTGGCAGGATGCCCAGCTGTGAAGGCTGGAGTCTAGGGCCAGGACGTGTATTTGGGCTGGCCTCTCTGGCAGGGCTCGTCCCCATCAGAAAGACCTTCCATCAGGATCTCCATCCTGCACCGCTCTGCGGGTGAAGTTCGGTGGGAGGTCCCCGACCGCTCGAAGCCAGGACCCCAGCCCAACACACGCTTCTCCGCACAGGTGCTGGAACCGCCTCTCGGGGCCGGGGGAGGGACCCTGGAGCTGCGCCCCAGATCCCGCTACAGCCTACAGCTGCGCGCCAGGCTCAACGGCCCCACTTTCCAAGGCCCCTGGAGCGCCTGGTCTCAGCCCGCGAGGGTGGAGACCGCCACGGAGACCGGTGAGGCTGGACTGGCCCAAAGCCTGTCCGCGGCTGCGCGAGGGGCGGGGCAAGCCGTGGGGAGGCGGGGCCAACCGTGGGGAGGCGGGGCTCTGGACGCACCTCCGCGGCGGCTGCTGCTGCTGGGCTGTGATGCTGGTGCTCCGGATGGTGAGGGAGGACCCAGGGCTGGGCCTGGCACGCCTACGGGCGGGGCCGAGGATCGGCCGAGATCAGACGGTTTTTGTCCCCTAGCCTGGATCTCCTTGGTGACTGCTCTGCTCCTGGTGCTGAGCCTCAGTGCTCTTCTGGGCCTGCTGCTGCTGAGGTGGCAGTTTCCTGCCCATTACAGGTACCTCCCCTGCCAAGAGGGAGATGGGGTGTGGACCCGGCGAGGCCAGTGGCCTCTAAACAAGTACTCTAGGCTCACTCTGTGACACCGCTCTTGGAACCAGGGAACATCCACACCTATAGCTTCAGCTGCTTCCTGCACGCCTTCTTACACTCTAACTTGCCCACTATCCTGACCACCTCGCACAGCCCCACCTCTTGACTGCTCACTTAGTGAGAGAGCCAACCTTGTCCCAAACCAGGACACTCTAGCTAGTGCCTCCCTCCCCATCCCCACCACATCCAGTTGGCCATTAGGTCTGGTCATTCCACCTTAAGAGCCAGCTCAGACAATGCCTGCTTTCTCTGACCCAACATACTACCTCATTGAAACAAAGCCTCTTCTCTCCATCCTCACATGCCTCCACAATCTTTCCAGAATGCACAGGAGCCTAACCCCAGGAGCTCCCTAGGATAGAGGCCAACAAGGCTTTACAAAATCTGTCTTCTGCCAGCACACCCTTCTCTATGCTATCAGCGTTGCTGTTGGTGATACGCTCCACAATTGGGTTGTTTCCTTCTCAACGCCTTTGCACCTAGTCCTGCAGCCTGGAACATGCTCTCTACTTGGCTAATACCTATTCACCTTTAAATAACTTTCTTCATCTACTTTTAAACCTTTCCTGACCTTCCCCTCATTGGCCACGTTTTTGCTCCAGTAGGGTTTTCCAGCATTTATTTATTTATTTGGTGTTGCCCAAATTTGTTGAACTAGGGCTTATGCATGCTAAGCACACCCTCTACCACCAAGCATACTTGCAGCCCAGCATTAATTTCCATATCTTCCCCATCATGCCTTACTTGGCCATTTTTAAATCCACAGCATGGTGCCTGCAAAGTAGCAGGCCCTTAAAATAAATGTTAGCAATGAATGACTCACTTATGTGGGGGCCGAGAAGTATTACTGAAGTTAAAACATAAGAATAAAATCCATACCACCTCAGTCTTTTAATTGGCCCTATCTGTTGATTCTTGAAGACAGCTCAGAAGCCAGTAGTGTGTTTTGATGGTCCTACACTGAGGAGGTACCCCCTGACCCTGAGCTCCCCACCTCTTTGAACATGCTTCTCTTTGAATTTTTTTATTTTAGACAAAAATCTCATTTGTAGCCCAGGCTGGCCTGGAACTCATTTAGTCCAGGATGACCTCAGACTCATTGTAGTCCTTCTGCCTCAGCCTCCTGAGTGCTGGGATTATAGGCATGAGCCATCACACCTGGCTGTCTTTGAACTTTTAATCTGCCTTTGTGTGTGAACAGATGGAATGTAGACTCTATGCAAGGTAGTCATATCTAACAACAACAAGTTGGCAGAGAATGGCAATGGTATTGCTAAAGCAGGCATAGTGAGTTCTTTTTCTCAGTCAGAAAGTCACTCCTCCTTCCTGGAGAGACAGGGCTAAAGGTCATAGAAGAGCCAGGAATGTTTAGCTGAAGTCCTTTAACACAGAAATGTGAGGCCAAAGAATTGGAGGTCTCCCCAGTATACCTTAATCTATACTCTTCTCAGATGACCCATTGGCAGCTACACTAGTTTTCTTCACTCATTTCAACAGTTTCTCAAGCACCTACTATGGGCCCAACACTGGAGACACAGGAGTGGAAAGAAAAAAAAACTGTCAGGCTGTCACAGAGCTTGCATTCTAGTAAAATATGTCAATACAGTAAGTCAAGCAAACCAACAGGGCAGGAAATGAGAGTGACCTGGAAGGGAGATGTTACTATTTTAGGCAGAGTGGTCAGGGAAGCATCTGTCAGGATAACACATAAGCAGAGACCTAAATGAAGTGAGGGAATCATCTAGGCATCCCAGCAGAAAGAATAGCAAGAGCAGCATCCCGAAGTAGCAATGCCTGAGGAAGCTGTGCTCCACCCTTCCTGAGCTGCCCACCGGGGACTTCCCTCCCCACCTCTACTCCTCTACCATACTTTATAGCCCCAACCATGCTCCTGTCTCTCCAAATCGTACTACTCTGCCTCTCTGCCTTCCCCAACTGTCCCCTTTTAATGTCTTCCTCATCACTCCCAACTCACCCCTCCCGCAACTCAGACTTGCCCCCTCTTCCTTCTTCCCTAGGAGGCTGAGGCATGCCTTGTGGCCGTCACTTCCAGACCTACACCGGGTCATAGGCCAGTACCTTAGAGATACTGCAACCCTAAGTCCTGTGAGTACACCCCCACATTCCCCTTTCCCAGTCTCTCTACCACCACTGATCCTTGTTCCCACAATGCAACTTGTTCATGGTCTTTGCCTAGAAATTTACCAGTCTTAGGTGCTACCACCCCCCCACCTTGCAGCCCAGTTTTCCTTCTATGCAATTCAGCCCATCCCACACCCCAGAATGTGCTTTAATACAGTTCCTTTTGCCCATGTCTCCCAGCCCAAGGCCACAGTTACTGACACCTGCGAAGAAGTGGAACCCAGCCTCCTTGAAATCCTACCTAAGTCCTCAGAGAGGACTCCCTTGCCCCTGTGTTCTTCCCAGCCTCGGACGGACTACCGAGGACTGCAGCCTTCTTGCTTGGGGCCCGTGCCCTTGTCTGTGTGCCCACCCCCTGTGGCTGAGGCAGGGTCCTGCTGTACTACCCACATCGCCAACCACTCCTACCTACCGCTAAGCTATTGGCAGCAGCCCTGAAGGCAGGCCCCCGACTCCCACAGATCTAGGTTACTCTGCACACTACTTTATCCTACCTGTAACACCAACACCTCAGACCTTACTTCCATCCTGCTCTACCACTCCATCTACTTCATGGGGCTTCATAGCACTCATCTTTCCACACCTGACAAACCCATCACCCTTTCTCTACAGTGACTTGAATAGACTCCCCCGACCCCCGCTTTTTTTTAAGACAAAGCCTCACTATGTACCCCTGGCTGGCCTGAAACTCACTATGTAGACCATGTTGGCCTCCAACTCACAGAGATCTGCTTGCTTCTGCCTCTGCCTCTGCCTCCTGAGTTCTGGGATTAAAGGTGTATGTCACTATATCCAGATTTAGTTATTCCTTCTTAATCTTTTATTCTAGCATTTATTCCATTTCATAATTATTTCAATCTCTCAACAATCTTTTCTTTTTGGCAGTGCTGGGATCAAACCCAGGACCTGCCTTGACCACTGAGCTACATCCCAGCTCTAAAACAGGTTGGACTGAAACTCACAGTCCTCCACTGAGTGCTAGAATTAAAGGTGTATACCACCCACCATGCCCAGCAAGACTCCAACTTTTTTTTTTTTTTTTTTTTTGGTCTTTTTGAGACAGTCTTCCTGTAGCCCCAAATGGTCTGGAACTTGCTATGTAGACCAGGCTGGCCTCAATCTCACAGAGATCTGCCTGTCTCTACCTCTACCTCCTGGGTGTTGAGATTAAAGGTGTGCCCCAGCATACCCAGAAAGACTTCATTCTTTTTTGGGGGGGTGTTCTTTTTGAGTCAGGGTCTCCCTGTAGCCCCAGCTGACCTGGAACTCCCTATGTATGGCCAGGCTAGCCTTGAACTCACATAGATCTACCTGCCACTGCCTCCTGAGTGCTAGGATTAAAGGCGTGTACCACCTCACCTGACCAAGACCCCATCCTTAATACAATCTGATCCTATCTAGTCTCTCTTAGTCTCTTACCATTAGAAAGTTCTCAGCTCCAGCCCAGACTTGTACCATAGCACCTGTGCAACTATTCACATGTGTGTCTCTTGCTACTAGACTGTGAATTTCTTGAGGACATGGTAGGTAGTAGACCTTCAATAAATGTTTTCTAAATCAATTAAATCTTTCTGAATGATGTTGCCTTTATTCCATACCAACTTCCTTCATCCTCCAAACTACTATGCTAATGGTAAATGTACTTAAACCACTCAAGTTATGAGTTCCCTAGTCCATTCAAATTTCAAGCAAATGTTTTCCTGTTTGGATCTTTTCTATCTCCAAATATAGCCACTTTGTTAAAGTCTTGCCAGAGATAGATGGCACATTCAAACTGGGTAATTTGACAAGCACATTTACAAAGATGAGGGTGAGATTTTGGAAAACCATCAAGGAATAATGCTGTACCACAGGGCTAACAATAAAACTGGCACAAGCCAGGCGTGGTGGCACATGCCTTTAGTCCCAGCACTCGGGAGGCAGAGGCAGGCGGATTTCTGTGAGTTCGAGGCCAGCCTGAGCTCCATTAGCGAATCCAGGCCAGTTGTGGCTACAGGGAAACCTTGTCTCAAAAAGACTGAAAAAAAAAAAAAAAAAAAAGAAACTGGCACCAACCTTAAACATCAAGGAACAAGGCCATCAGATCTACAGGGAGCAGCTAGAAGGCACGTCTACCTAGCAGAGTTGTGACCTTCCACAGGAGGGAGCAGGGGAATAAATAGCCCAAGCTAATGCTTAGTCTTGAGTACCTAAGAATAGAAATTTCTTTTATTTTATTGAGACAGGCCTGGAACTTACTATGTAGACCAGGCTGGACTCAAACTCAGATCTGCCTGCATCTGGTTCTGAGTCCTGGGACTAAAGGCATGTACCACCACACCCAGCCAGAATTTTTTTTTAACTTTTTAAAATTTAATAATAACATGATTAGAAGAAGCATTTCATTATAGCTTTAACATATTCAGTAACACATTCCAGAGCAAGGATACATCTCTTTCAAAAGTGGCTGTAAATTTTTAGGTTCACAGTTGAATTAATACAGTTATATAATATTGAGCTCCAGAATTTTTTTTGATGTGGCAGAAAGGTGAATTGTATGTGTGTGTGTGTGTGTGTGTGTGTGTGTGTGTGTGTGTCTTTGTCTTTTTGAAGCAGGGTCTTCCTGTAGCCCCAGCTGTCCTGGAACTCACTATGTAGACCAGGCTGGCCTTGAACTCACAGAGATCCGCCTGCCTCTGCCTCCCAGATGCTGGGACTACAGACGTGCGCCACCATGCCCGTCTTAGAAAGATGAATTTTGAGTATACTGGCTGCCATCCACAACCAGACCCACTCCACCCTTATATCCCTTGCTCTGTGTGAGGCTCATTCATAGGACCTGTATCAGTGGATTTCCTCAGACTCTGGTTTCTGTTTGGGTCCCCAGAATGGGAGGATATTATTTGTTAAACTATGTCCCTTATCCCCAAATCCAGATGTTTAAGTCTCAACCCCCAGTGGTGCAAATGTGACCTTCTTTGGAAATAAGGTCATTACATATAAAATTAACTATGAGTTATGGGTCCTAGTCCACTATGACTGGTATTCTAGAAAGGGAATTTTGGATGCAGACTACAGGAGAAAAGCCAAGAAAAGATGAAGGCAGAGACTAAAGTGATACTTCTACCATCCAAGAAACACAGACGATTACCATCAAATCATCAGAAGCCAGAAAGGCATGGATTCTTCCTCAGAGCCCTCAAGGGAAGCAACCCCACTGACATTTTGCCCAGGCACTTCCAGTCTCGGTTTTTGTCCTTTGCGACACACATTTGTGGTAATGCGTTATGGCAATTATAGCTGAGTTCACAGACCCACACATTCTCCATCTCATTCTTTCTGCAAGTTTTTTTTCTTTCTTTTTGAGACAGGATTTCACTATATAACCCTGGCTGGCCTAGAACTCACTATGTAAACCAGGCTGGTCTCAAACTCACAGAGATCCACCAACCTCTGCCTCCTGAGTGCAGATTACAGTCCTGCTTTTACTTTTCAATGTATAGTTTCCTGCAATTGTATCTTTTCCTTTTTCTACAGTTACCCTTAATCTAGAAATTGCAAACTGCTGGTCAAGTTTCTCTCTCTCAAATGTTTCCTTTCACAGAACTTGCACTGGTTCCATAGTTCCTCGCAGATAAAATCTAAACTCCATAGCTTAAGATGTAACCCTGACACTAGACTACTTTTTCTGAGTTTTCTGGAGTTCAGGGACTCCCTACTTAAAACTCTAGGTATTCAAACTTCTTGTTTTCCAAGTTAATTAGAAACAGAAAAATATAAATGCTTCAACACCAGAGATAACATAAATTTGGACTAACTTCTGAAGATTTTCCTCTCATCATTAGAGGTAATCTTTTTTTTTTGGCCTTTTTGAGACAGGGTCTCCCTGTAGCCCCAGCTGACCTGGAACTCACTATGTAGACCAAGCTGGCCTTGAACCCACAGAGATCTGCCTGCCTCTGCCTCTCAAGTGTTGGGATTAAAGGTATGTGCCACCACACCCAACTCTAGTTTCTTTTTCTGTAAAATGAAAGCAGAATACTTCTGTCTGAAGAAGTGATTGAATTTTTAAAAAGCAAACGAAGTAGCCAGGTATGGTGACTCAAGCCTGTAACCCCAGCACTTGGAAGGGGAAGCTGGAGGATTAAAAATTCAAGGTCCGATGAGCGTGGTGGCACACGCCTTTAATCCCAGCACTTGGGAGGCAGAGGCAGGTGGATCTCTGTGAGTTCAGTCTGGTCTACATGGTGATTTCCAGGACAGCTGGGGTTACAGGGAGACCATGTATCAAAAAAAAAAAAAAAAAAGTTCAAGGTCCTTGGGGCTGGAGAGATGGCTCAACGGTTAAGAACACTGACTATTCTTACAGAAGACCCAAGTTCGAATCCCAGCACCCACGGCAGCTAACAACCGTCTGTAACTCCAGTTCCAGGGGATCCAACGCCCTTGTCAGTCCTCCTCGGCCATTACACGGCACAGGTGCACTTACATACATACACGCAGGCAGTACATGCATACCCATAAAATAAAAATAAAATTTATATAAAAAAAATAAAGTTCAAGGTCCTGCTTACTTCATAAGAGTTCCAAGCCAACCTGAGCTATACCAGACTGTCTCAAAAACCAAAGAAGTATGTATACTGTTTTAACATAGTGGTTAGCACATGGTCAATAAGTGGTATCCATTAGTAGTATTATTAATGCTTGTTTCACCCCTGAGCACATTCACACAATTCAAGTCATTAGAGCCCGGGACTGAATGGGCCTCAGATTTTACTATGTGGACCAGGTTAGCCTCCCTCTCATAGAGATACACTGGCCTCTGCCTCCTAAATGCTGGGATTAAATGCATGTGCCACCATGGTGGACTTTTTTTTTTAGGTTTGTGTGTGTGTGTGTATGCCACGTGTGTGCAGATGCCAGAGGCACTCAGAAGTGGGTATCGGTGCCCTGGAGCTGAGGTTTCAAGTGCTTGTGAGCTGCCAAATGTAGGCGCTGAGAACCAAACTCGGTTCTCTGGAACAGAACCAAGCACTCTAAACCGCTGAGCCAACTGTCCAGCCCCCAGACCTGGATTCTTAACAACTTCTTTTTATGACCTTGGGCAAATTCCTTGCCTGGGCCTTAGTTTCTCCACCTATAAAACATGGTTCAGGTGCCCGTAGGGAGTTTGTAAGAAGCCCAGGATGGCTAAACGCCTCAAGAATCAAAATCCCCCAAGATCCAGCCTCAGGGTGTCCCATAGGGTGGTCTAATCTGCTCTTTGAATCCAGATTTTTTTTTTCTTTCTTTTGGTCTTTTTGGGACAGGGTCTTTCTGGCCTTGGAACTCGTGTGTAAACTAGGCTGGCCTTGAACTCAAAAAGATCCTCCAGCCTCTGCTGGGATTAAAGGCGTGGTGACGCCCGGCTGAATCCTGATTTTCTTGACCCTCACTTCCCCTCCCTCAGCCTCACTTTGTAAAACACACCCGCCCGCGTTCCTTTCTAGGCTGCTGGCTAGTCGGTGGCACCCTAACAAGCTCTCCAGTTTGTGCCCTCCCCATCCCGGAGGCCACCCGCCCACCATCTCTATCGGCTCAGGTCCTTTGTCGCAGCATCGAGCTCGAGGCCTGCTACAGTAAGTACCACCCACCCACAGGTTGTTCCCTGAGTGTGCCCTTCCCAGCCGCTCGCATCCTCCAGCCACCCCGGGAGGGCCAGCCTGCTCTAGAAAGCAGAAGGGAATGCGAGGAATGAGTGGCAGCGACTGCAGCGCGCAGTCGCCACCCCGACGCGACGCGCCCACCCCTGGCGCTCTGACTCCGCCTCCAAGGGGGCGAGCTTGAGGCTTCTCGGTCCAGCAAAGCATGGTGGGGGGGGGGCACTCTCGTGAGATCTGAGACTTGCTCCCGGAAGACCCGCCCTCTGCGCGGGTAGCAACCAATGGGCGAGGACGACGGTTGCGGCGGTTGGGTTTTGAAGGAGCCAATGAGCGCTCGGAGCGGAGAATTTAAGCGACCCAGGCAGCTTGGGAGCAGCCAGTCTGGATTTGGAACCTCCTGGTACACACGCAGAGGTGCTGCAGAGCCGAGCCATCGTCGGCCGCCGTTGGTAGGGGCTGCTGCTGAGAGGACTCCGATTGCCGACCGGGAACCCCGCGCTGCCCCGAGCACGGTCGCCGGTCCCCGTGCAGCCGCTGTCATGGCGCAGTTCGTGTTTGAGAGTGACCTGCACTCCCTGCTTCAGCTCGACACGCCCATCCCCAACGCACCCCTTGCACGCTGGCAGCGCAAAGCTAAGGAAGCGACTGGCCCGGTCCCCTCGCCCATGCGGGCGGCCAACCGATCCCACAGCGCTGGCAGAACCCCAGGCCGTACTCCCGGTGAGTGGAGTACGGCGAGGACTAGGAGGGAGATAGAATGGCTGGCAGTCGGTCTTCGACCTCCCTCCTGCAGGAACATGGTCAGACTGCCTGGCTTCTCTCTGCTCACTCTAGGCAAATCTAGTACCAAGGTTCAGACCACACCTAACAAACCTGGAGGTGATCGCTACATCCCCCATCGCAGTGCTTCTCAGATGGAGGTGGCCAGCTTCCTCCTGAGCAAGGAGAACCAGCCAGAAAACGGAGAGACTCCCACTAAAAAGGTAAGATTCCCACCGATGGGGCACAAGGTATGAGACCTGATTGTGTCCCCTTGGCTGCCAATCTGCTTCTCACCACCCTTGTGTTCTAGGAGCACCAGAAAGCCTGGGCTTTGAACCTGAACGGTTTTGATGTAGAGGAAGCCAAGATCCTCAGGCTCAGTGGAAAACCACAGAATGCACCAGAAGGTAAGACCTGAAGTACTTGGAAGGTGGTGTCCGTTCATCCTCAGGGAGATAGGTGTTTGCTCTTCCCACCTAAAGTTGAGGCGGAGAGGGGGGATCATTTTTGCAAGGTTTACATCTGCTCTGTTGCCACAGGCTACCAGAACAGACTGAAAGTACTCTATAGCCAGAAAGCCACGCCTGGCTCCAGCCGGAAGTCCTGCCGTTACATTCCTTCCCTTCCAGACAGGATACTGGATGCCCCTGAAATCCGAAATGACTACTGTAAGTCCAGTTTATTGCCTTTGTCTATGGATGGAGAAAGATGGTTTGGGGATGGGACCAGACAAAGATGCTTATGCTGTTTCTTTTCTGTCTCTGGCAGACCTGAACCTTGTGGATTGGAGCTCTGGGAACGTACTGGCTGTGGCCCTGGACAACAGTGTGTACTTATGGAGTGCAAGTTCTGGTGACATCCTCCAGCTGTTGCAAATGGAGCAGCCTGGGGACTACGTATCCTCCCTGGCCTGGATCAAAGAGGGCAACTACCTGGCCGTGGGCACCAGCAATGCAGAGGTGCAGGTGAGAATGTCTAGGAAACTGGGCTTGGTAAGGCACACTTGTAATCAGCACCTGGGGTGCAGAAGATCACTGCAAGTTTGGGGCCAGCCAGGGCTAGTGAGACCTTGCTTAAAAAGAAGCTTGGTGATTGGGAGGTAGAACTGAAACTTCTTAATGAGGAAGGTGAAGGTTCTTGGTCCCTGTACTGTTTAACTTTGTCACCAGACCTCCTAGGGAGGAGCTTGTCCAACTAGAAGGATAATGCCAAACACCAGTCAATCTCTGATCCTAGTGGTCTTGTCTCTGCAGCTATGGGATGTACAACAGCAGAAACGGCTTCGAAACATGACCAGTCACTCTGCCCGAGTGAGCTCCCTAAGTTGGAATAGCTACATCCTATCCAGGTCTGTGATTTTTGCTGTAACAAAATCAGTCTGGTTTCTGCCTACCCCTTGCTCTGATGTACATTCCAGAATAGAAGTATCCCTGGCTTGCTTGAGTATTGTACTGCCTCATAACCTAAATCTTTTTCCTCCTCCAGTGGCTCTCGCTCTGGCTGCATCCATCACCATGATGTTCGGGTAGCAGAACACCATGTGGCCACATTGAGTGGCCACAGCCAGGAAGTATGTGGGCTACGCTGGGCCCCCGATGGACGGCACCTGGCCAGTGGTGGCAATGATAATGTGGTCAATGTGTGGCCTAGTGCTCCTGGAGAGGGAGGCTGGAATCCTCTGCAAACATTCACTCAGCATGAAGGTGCTGTCAAGGTGAGAAAAGGATTAAACTCCATCTTCTACAAACCCTTGGCTATAAACTAGGGACTGTTAAGGAGAGATGGGATAGTAGGATTGCACTGGGTTTATCTGTGATATTTATAGCTCCATCTGCTGACCTGACCCAACCATTATCCATCCTACTTAGGCTGTTGCATGGTGTCCCTGGCAGTCCAATATCCTAGCAACAGGAGGAGGCACCAGTGACCGACACATTCGCATTTGGAATGTCTGCTCTGGGTCCTGTTTGAATGCTGTGGATGCCCATTCCCAGGTATTTTCTTGGTGGTGGTGGTGGTGGTGGTGTTGCTTTGTTTATTTTTTTAGTCTTTGAGACAGGGTCTCCCTGTAGCTCCAGCTGTCCTGGAACTCACTATGTAGACCAGGCTGGCCTTGAACTCAGAGATCCGCCT